ATGCGACATATTTTTCTGAGACTATTTTCAGCACCAAGAACACAGCTAGCTCCTATCTCATTCATTGCACAGCGTATTCCATCTTCATTAGGCTCTGTTCGATTTCCAGGCTAGGACTAGACGAGCGTATAGGCGACTCTCGGTAAACGGTTCTCTCTGTATTTGGTTCAAGCCGTTAACCCTGGAACCATGAAGCCTGCTCACCATCACGAGAGCCATCAGCAGGAGAATGAGCACAAGAAGAACGTGCAGAAAGGGATAGAGCGTATGGAACGCCATTCTGGTACGGATTCGCTGGGATATATTTCTGGGAAATACGTATATATACAAAAACCGAAGAATAGTTGTGATTGTTATTTCTGTGCACTGACGGTTGTTAATCTCCTGTCTTCTATACTTCTCCTCCGTGTCCTGTGTAGGAACCGGCGTTCGCGGAGATCCCAAAAAAGGTATTTACTCAGTGAATCACTCACAAATCTGTTCTCCTCTTGATGGAAGAATGGCACTTCAATTTTATATAGCGAGTCGTCAATTCATTTGTTCCTCGACGGCCGCCCCAGCTGTTTTTAACGGATGTAGAATGTGACTTCATTTTTTTCTGACCCTGCCTTTCTTAGGGGGGGGCGGAGGGAAGCACACGTGGGGAAATGTTGGAGCGGAGTTCGAGCCCGTGGCGGCCGCTCTGGATAAGAACGACCCCAACTACGACCCTGATGCAGGCGAGGAGCAGCTCCAAGAGAGGTGCGTGTGGCTTGCGCATGGGTCCGCTGTAGCTTGCGTGTCGCTCGGGTGTGGCTCAGCTGTGGCTTACTGGTGGCATGCGCGTGCCCTCCATCGTATTCAAGATTCTTTCACCCATCTGTTTATCTGAACCCCACACTTGACGAAATGGAAAGAGTCTTTCCCGAGCCCCTTCCGCGTGTCTTGTTTCCAGCTGGCTTAAATTAACAGAATGAGCCAACTACTTTCTGAGAATGCTTTCACGCACATTGTATCACATTCGTTCAGGTCCGTTGAGCCGTTGGAGATGCCCGAATCCAAGAAGATCGTCATGGACTGATGGCCAGTCACGGGGGTGGGGGCATTCGACTCTATGGTCATCAGCTGCTCTTTCTCACTGCATTCCCTTGATAAGTTGTGCACGTCAGCATACACTTAGGAGAATTTTGGGGGATTGTTGCGGCGCTCCAAATCCGTTTAGATAGCCTTTAGAAAATGAGCCTGATCCCAGCCGATGCCAGAGCTTTGGGCTGCCCCTCAGGATTTTGGACAAACATGTTGATGGGTTGGTTGGAAGGACGGATGGATGAGTTTCCAATGCTGGAAAGGGGGCATGGGCATCACTAATGCCACATCTGCACCTGATTGTGCTACCTTTACCAACATTCATTTTCACATTGTAAATGCTGACATGGTGAATGCAATTGTCTCTAGCTCAATATTCAAGTTTGAATGTCTAGTGCAGTTTCACATATGTCTCGTGCTGAACTGGGCTGGATTGTGTTCGTCCATCAGTCAGTCTTATTGAGTCCGCTGAGGATAAACCCTTCACATAATAGGTGTACTGTTTACATTCACTTCATCTGTGCATAAAAACAAAAGTAAGATATATGATCCATACTATGTGTAACTTTTTTGAGTGGGCTGTTCGCTGCGCCTCTTGTTACTGCCACCCCCGGCCCGAACCGTCGGATCGAGTGTAGTGCTATGTAGCTAGGGAGAACAGTGTGCACAGCCGCGCGGGAGGTGGGCATCTTCAATCTGCTGACCTGGCGGCTCCCAGCAGCACAGCATGCCACCTTGCTGCAGGCAGCGTGTCACTGTTGTATGACCCAGAAAGGATGATGGTTTCTGGGGCGATCCCTTGACGTGTCGTCAGCCACAGTCCTCCATCAAATGTTGATGTGGCGATTTTCACAGACGCTGCCCCTGCCAGCGTGTCCTTCTGGATGAGTCATTTTGGCACGGAACTGAGTGACAATTCTTGGTTCGCTCAACCATAGGCAGCTTCGCAAAGTTGCTACAGTTCCGAGCCTTCAGTTCCCGCCTTTTGGTCCAAGTACAGGCCGAACCATCCATCATCGTGAGGCATCGCGCTTCGGATGGGTGGTTTGTGTATGAGCGCACAAGCCATACCCCTCGGGTTTGCTGCAAGCCTGCAATCCGCCGCCCTGAACTGTACAAACGAATGCTGACACGCCTGAAACGCGTCGTGGAATGGAAAGGATCGGCCCTCGGCAAATCGAAACAGTTGGATTTCACGTGGGGCAGATTGGTCGCAATTACGAAGTTTAAATATCGGAGAATGGCGGAACGGTGTTGACAACGAGCAGTTCGTAAAGAAACAATTCATGAAAATAGAATGTACAGAATGCGATCTGGTCACCTACAAATTTATTTTGACAGGCAGCAAGTGGTGGTGGTGACCACCACACCCCTTTCAAGTGGTGATGGGTACAGTACCACCACCACACCACACTCCTCACAAGGGGTGGCGGTGAGGTGACTACACCCTGTTTCTCGATGTTTGAACAATCGGGAGCCCCGGCTACAGTGCGCACGTGTGCTTGGATTCAGCGGGCTGGTGCTTGCAACCGAAATGCACTTAGAGAGAACGGTAGACAACGGTTTATGAAAAAAAACGTGCTTTTGAGTTCGGTTTCGTGCGGCAAAAGTGCTTATACGGTATGTTCTGGGACCAGTTTGGACGCATTGATGTCAGTACAACCGGCTTGTCAATATGGCGAATGTCAGTGTGGCGCGAAACAGGGTGTACACTGCTCACTGTACAACCGCCTCCTCGTAAGTGCTCCAGGTGACCCCCCTGCTCCATCCATGCCTTGCCGCTTGCTTCTCAGATAGCCTCCTCACAGACCAAGGACACGAAAAACACCCGCCAAGTATGACGGCCAAAAAATTACCGCGAACCAGAGCTGCACTCTGAGCAGCCAAAACCTATCAGGCCCCAACCACCTACGCGACTCGACGCGACGCGGCGCATGTTAGGTTATTCTTCCTCAAGTTGTGAATCACCTCCGTTTCTTTTACATCTATAAAGTAACGTGACTTCGTTCTCCACACTTTAGCACATAGTTTGAACTTCATATTTCAGTAAACGATTTTCACGAGGAAGGCCCTGGAGATCCAACACCACTCGCCCACGACGCCAACCTTCAACTCGCCACCATCCTCACACCGCCCCCCGCCCAGCCTACCATCTAACTCCAGAGGTAAGCATGGCGTACATCAGCTTGTTGTAATTATCGCAGCATTTTTTTTTTTTTTATGTCCATCTTGAAACGTCTGCTGACTTACCTTTTGTTGCGTTTTGGCAGGCAAACCCGTCCTCAAGTTGGCCATGGAAGCTCTCAAGCACGTCAACTATAATGCTCAACAGCTGCTGTTCAACATCGCTGCTGCTCAAATTTTCTGCTGCACAAGAAGCTCTTCTCAACGATTTTCCTTTGGAGATCGCCACCACCATTCGCTCCCAGCACCAACCGTCAACCCGCCACCAGCCACACTCCGCCCCTCGCCCAGCCTACCTTACGAACTCCAGAGGTAAGCGTTTCTTTTTAAACCGTTTGCTAGTTTTCCTTGCCTTGTTTGCCTTGAGTTAATTCAGTTGCCTTGTTTTCAATTTGAAAATCCAAATCTGGCTTTGTTTCTAACTCATTTTCGTTTGAATACTTCCAGGGTCAACCCCCAAGGCCACGAGAAGCAAGTCCCTGAGGCCACGAGAAGCAAGTCCCTGAGGCCACGAGTTCAAGTCCTTGAGGCCACGAGAAGCAAGTCCCTGAGGCCACGAGAAGCAAGTCCCTGAGGCCACGAGAAGCAAGTCCCTGAGGCCACGAGAAGCAAGTCCCTGAGGCCACGAGAAGCAAGTCCCTGAGGCCACGAGAAGCAAGTCCCTGAGGCCACGAGAAGCAAGTCCCTGAGGCCACGAGAAGCAAGTCCCTGAGGCCACGAGAAGCAAGTCCCTGAGGCCACGAGAAGCAAGTCCCTGAGGCCACGAGAAGCAAGTCCCTGAGGCCACGAGAAGCAAGTCCCTGAGGCCACGAGAAGCAAGTCCCTGAGGCCACGAGAAGCAAGTCCCTGAGGCCACGAGAAGCAAGTCCCTGAGGCCACGAGAAGCAAGTCCCTGAGGCCACGAGAAGCAAGTCCCTGAGGCCACGAGAAGCAAGTCCCTGAGGCCACGAGAAGCAAGTCCCTGAGGCCACGAGAAGCAAGTCCCTGAGGCCACGAGAAGCAAGTCCCTGAGGCCACGAGAAGCAAGTCCCTGAGGCCACGAGAAGCAAGTCCCTGAGGCCACGAGAAGCAAGTCCCTGAGGCCACGAGAAGCAAGTCCCTGAGGCCACGAGAAGCAAGTCCCTGAGGCCACGAGAAGCAAGTCCCTGAGGCCACGAGAAGCAAGTCCCTGAGGCCACGAGAAGCAAGTCCCTGAGGCCACGAGAAGCAAGTCCCTGAGGCCACGAGAAGCAAGTCCCTGAGGCCACGAGAAGCAAGTCCCTGAGGCCACGAGAAGCAAGTCCCTGAGGCCACGAGAAGCAAGTCCCTGAGGCCACGAGAAGCAAGTCCCTGAGGCCACGAGAAGCAAGTCCCTGAGGCCACGAGAAGCAAGTCCCTGAGGCCACGAGAAGCAAGTCCCTGAGGCCACGAGAAGCAAGTCCCTGAGGCCACGAGAAGCAAGTCCCTGAGGCCACGAGAAGCAAGTCCCTGAGGCCACGAGAAGCAAGTCCCTGAGGCCACGAGAAGCAAGTCCCTGAGGCCACGAGAAGCAAGTCCCTGAGGCCACGAGAAGCAAGTCCCTGAGGCCACGAGAAGCAAGTCCCTGAGGCCACGAGAAGCAAGTCCCTGAGGCCACGAGAAGCAAGTCCCTGAGGCCACGAGAAGCAAGTCCCTGAGGCCACGAGAAGCAAGTCCCTGAGGCCACGAGAAGCAAGTCCCTGAGGCCACGAGAAGCAAGTCCCTGAGGCCACGAGAAGCAAGTCCCTGAGGCCATGAGAATAAGTCCTCAAGATGGAGATCGCCCACCACCACTCGCCTCCACCGCCAATCTGCAATCCGCACCCATCCATACACCGCCCCCCGCCCCGCCTACCAACCGATCTCCCAGGGTAAGCTCGCCTGGTTCAGTTCCAGATCTGGTTTTATTCGTGTTTTAAATTGAATGTCCAAATCTGGATTTTTTCTAACTCCGGTTTGTTTGAATATTTGCAGGTTAAACCGGGGCTGCCAAGAACATTGTTGAAGCTCTAGAGCCGTGGAATCACAATTCAAGTCAACGAATTTTGGACCCCTGGAGATCCGCTACCGTCTGCCACCATCACCATCTACCTTAATCAACCTTCTTCATCAGAGGTAAGAAGACTTGACTTCATGCCTATTTGAAAATCTTGCCGTACTGCACAACCTTTTATTTTCTCATGATGTCCAAAATTGACTCTGTTTTTGTTTCTACCTTGGCAGATCAAGTGCTTTGGTTGTCAGCAAGTCCATGAGCCCATTGATCCGCTGCTCAACCCGTGCTACTTCATCCCGTTGTTGCTGGCTTCAACGCATTTTTTTCGTGTGGCGTGAGACGGGCGACTGACTGCTCCAACTTCAACTGATCGGGAAGTGTCGTTCTCTTCCTCGTTTTCATTGCTCGATTTATCGTCGTTTCGTTGTGCAACCATCCCATTCCGCCTTCCGCCTTTGTTGTTTTTCAACGTTTCCACCGTCCCTCTGGCGCCAAGGCTGCAGCTACAGATGATCCTCCGCGGTTGGGTTGGGAACGGGTAGATAGATCCTCCCTCTGCTAGCTGCAGCCGAAGCGTCATGGACGATCCCACCCTGTTTGTTTACATCGTCTGTTACCGCCTTCGTTTTCTTCATTCTCGTTTTTGTTTTTTTCGCATTCGCTTTTTCTAGTGTTTCTTCTGTTTCTGCTTTCTAACTTCGTGCCTAGTGTTTGTTTCCTCCCATTCTTTTCAGCAATAATGGGCGGCTGCTGTGGAGCTTCGAACGAGCTCGAGGGCATCTTCAGTCACTCAAGCTTCAACCGATTGAAAGCTATTGTAAGCCTTTGAATCGCTTCTTAAAATATTCGCTTCTTGAATCACCCCGTTTGTTCCAATTTCGTTTTCATTTTCGCATTCCGTTTTGCCTTTTTTTTCTCTTGTTTTCCATCGTGTTTTTGTTTACTAACTTAGTGCCTAGTGTATGTTCCCCCTCTTGCGTTTCAGCATCTACGGTTTCACGTGGCTTCACTCTTCACGGCGGATGGCTTCACTCTTCATGGCGGATGGCTTCACTCTTCTCGGCGGGCTTGAAAATCCAACTATTCGAAGGCTTAAGTAAGCTCTTTTTAAGGTTCATTTTCGTTCTGGTTTACCATTTTTTAGCTCTGTTTATGATCCGATTAAGTTCCCTTTGAGCTCTCTTCATTTCTATAGTTGCTAATACTTCGTTTTTGTTCTGTGCAGGCATGGAGGCACATCCCCTTGGGAGCGTGGCTACAACGGATCTCTATGGGATCGTGGCTGCAGCTTGGTGAAGGCGCATCCCCTTGCAGCGCGGCGGACCTCCAAGGGAGAACGCCAGGGAGTGGCGGTTCTCCAAGGGAGAACGCCTTGGAGTGGCGAAGCTTCAAGGGAGATGAAGCTTGAAGCTCCGACCATGCCAAGGCCAACGTAAGCTCTCTCCTTGGCTTGGTTTAAGTCCCGCTTAAGCTCCGTTTCACTGATGTTTAAGTTCCGTTTTACTTGTGTTTAAGCTCTGTCTGAATTTTGGTTGAAGTTCCTTTCTAGCTATAGTTGCTAATACTTCGCTTTTGTTCTGTGCAGGCATGGAGGCGCATCCCCTTTGGAGCGTGGCTACAAACGGTTCTCTATGGGATCGTGGCTGCAGCTTGGCGAAGGCGCATCCCCGGCGGACCTCCAAGGGAGAACGCCAGGGATTGGCGGTTCTCCAAGGGAGAACGCCTTGGAGTGGCGAAGCTTCAAGGGAGATGAAGCTTGAAGCTCTGACCATGCCAAGGCTAACGTAAGCTCTCCTTTTTGCTTGGTTTAAGTTCTGCTTAAGCTCCGTTTTACTTGTTTAAGCTCCGTTTTACTTGTGTTTAAGCTCTGTCTGAATTTTGGTTTAAGTTCCTTTCTAGCTATAGTTGCTAATACTTCGTTTTTGTCCTGTGCAGGCATGGAGGCGCATCCCCTTGGGAGCGTGGCTACAACGGATCTCAATGGGATCGTGGCTGCAGCTTGGTGAAGGCGCATCCCCTTGCAGCGCGGCGGACCTCCAAGGGAGAACGCCAGGGAGTGGCGGTTCTCCAAGGGAGAACGCCTTGGAGTGGCGAAGCTTCAAGGGAGATGAAGCTTGAAGCTCTGACCATGCCAAGGCTAACGTAAGCTCTTCCTTTTTGCTTAATTTAAGTTCTGCTTAAGCTCCGTTTTACTTGTGTTTAAGCTCTGTCTGAATTCTGGTTGAAGTTCCTTGCTAGCTATAGTTGCTAATACTTCGCTTTTGTTCTGTGCAGGCATGGAGGCGCATCCCCTTGGGAGCGTGGCTACAACGGATCTCTATGGGATCGTGGCTGCAGCTTGGTGAAGGCGCATCCCCTTGCAGCGCGGCGGACCTCCAAGGGAGAACGCCAGGGTGTGGCGGTTTTCCAAGGGAGAACGCCTTGGAGTGGCGAAGCTTCAAGGGAGATGAAGCTTGAAGCTCTGACCATGCCAAGGTTAACGTAAGCTCTCCTTTTTGCTTGGTTTAAGTTCTGCTTAAGCTCCGTTTTACTTGTGTTTAAGCTCCGTTTTACTTGTGTTTATGCTCTGTTTGAATTTTGGTTTAAGTTCCTTTCTAGCTATAGTTGCTAATACTTCGTTTTTGTCCTGTGCAGGCATGGAGGCGCATCCCCTTGGGAGCGTGGCTACAAACGGATCTCTATGGGATTGTGGCTGCAGCTTGGTGAAGGCGCATCCCCTTGCAGCGCGGCGGACCTCCAAGGGAGAACGCCAGGGAGTGGCGGCGCCAGGGAGTGGCGAAGATTCAAGGGAGATGAAGCTTGAAGCTCCGACCATGCCAAGGCTAACGTAAGCTCTCTCCTTTTTGCTTGGTTAAGTTCTGCTTAAGCTCCGTTTTACTTGTGTTTAAGCTCCGTATTACTTGTGTTTAAGCTCTGTCTGAATTTTGGTTTAAGTTCCTTTCTAGCTATAGTTTCTAATACTTCGATTTTATTCTGTGCAGGCATGGAGGCGCATCCCCTTGGGAGCGTGGCTACAACGGATCTCTATGGGATCGTGGCTGCAGCTTGGTGAAGGCGCATCCCCTTGCAGCGCGGCGGACCTCCAAGGGAGAACGCCAGGGTGTGGCGGTTCTCCAAGGGAGAACGCCTTGGAGTTGCGAAGCTTCAAGGGAGATGAAGCTTGAAGCTCCGACCATGCCAAGGCTAATGTAAGCTTTCTCCTTTTTGCTTGGTTTTAGTTTCGCTTAAGCTCCGTTTTACTTGTGTTTAAGCCCTTTGGATTTTGATTTAAATTCCTTTCAAGCTATAGTTGCTGATGCTTCGTTTTTGTTCTGTGCAGGCATGGAAGCACATGTAAAGCCGCCACCACACTCGTGAAGCCTCTACCACACTCGTGGAGCCGCCACCACACTCGTGGAGCCGCCACCACACTCGTGCAGCCGCCACCACACTCGTGCATCCGCGATGTCGCTATCTGCACCTGTGAAGCCGCCAGGATGCGTCTGTGAAGCCAAGGGAGCAGCTGTGAAGCCACTTGGAGGCCACGGTAAGCTTCTTCATCCTTGACCTCTTGAGCACCTTACCCATATCAGCTTTATTGCTTGCTATGCCGATTTCCTTCTCCGTTTTCAGCCTTCCTTCATTCAGTACTAATATGTTTTAAATGATTTGTGCAGAACTTAAAGAAGCTGCCAAGGAGCGGCGTACGACTCAGCGGCCTAAGGAGCAGCCTATGACTCAGCAGCCTAAGGAGCAGAATCAGCTGCCTAAGGAGCAGCAGCCTACGACTCAGCAGCCCAAGGATCAGCAGCCTACGAATCAGCAGCCCATGGAGCAGATTACGACGCAGAGCAGCCCTGAACCCCTGAACCCTGAAGGGTTGAAGCAGCCTGGTGCAGACAAGGGGAGATGCGGCCTGGTTGAGAGGAGAGGTGAACCCTGAACCCTGTGGAGGCGGAGTATTGGCTGCGGAAGTGGTTGCTGGGCTGCGGGAGCGGAGTTAGGGCTGCAGAAACGGATTAGGCGCTGCGGAAGCTGAGTAGGGCTGCGGAAGCTGAGTAGGGCTGCGTAAGCTGAGTATGAGCGGCGGAAGCTGAGTAGGCGCTGCGGAAGCGGAGTATGGGCTGTGGAAGCGGTTGCTGGGCTGCGGAAGCGGAGGCTGGGCGGGAGGGATGTGGCGAAGCAGTCTACAGGGAAGCAGCGTAGCACCCAACAGGGTCGGAGCGTAGCAGCCTACAGGGAAGCAGCGTAGTCAGAGGCTGGGCTGCAAGGAGTAGACGGAGGAGGAGGCTGCGGAACCGGTTGCTGCGGAAGCGGAGGCTTGGCCGGATGGATGTGGCAAAGCAGTGGAGGGATGTGGGGAAGGGTTGCGCGGATGGTGGCTAGATGGGAGCTCAAGGGTGGCCTAAGAGGTGGCTGAGTCTAGTGTGTGGCTCAGCCGGTCCTAAGGCGAGTGGCGCGGTGTGGGTGTGGCCTCGGCGGTGATGTGATGGAGGACGGGCCGGTGCTTGGTTCTGGCAGTGCAAAGTCGCCCGGGAGGCTTTGCACTGCCTGGGCCCAGAATCAAGCAGACCGGGTACCTTACCCTCCAGGTAGCATCACTGTTGGGGTTACACTTGCACCACAAAGTCTGCACCGCACCGGGGTGGGTGCGGGGGACTTGAGTCACTCTTAAGAGAAGGGAGACCGCACTGGCGAGGGTGCGGAGATCTTCTCTTACCTCTGAATGATGAGTCCACACTGGCGTGGGTGTGGAAATACTCATTCTAGGTCCACCTGAGGGTTTCCGTTTAGGAGGCTTGCGGTTTCACTTAAAGCCTCGGAGCTTTCTCACACTGGCGTGGGTGTGGGGGGTTCGTCACTTGATGCGTCAGCCTGGAGCAGTGAAGTGGAGCAGCCGCCTGATGCAGTTAGGGGGAGCAGCCGCCTGGAGCAGTTAAGGGGAGCAGCCGCCTGATGCAGTTAGGGGGAGCAGCCGCCTGGAGCAGTTAAGGGGAGCAGCCGCCTGGAGCAGTTAAGGGGAGCAGCCGCCTGGAGCAGTTAAGGGGAGCAGCCGCCTGGAGCAGTTAAGGGGAGCAGCCGCCTGGAGCAGTTAAGGGGAGCAGCCGCCTGGAGCAGTTAAGGGGAGCAGCCGCCTGGAGCAGTTAAGGGGAGCAGCCGCCTGGAGGAGTTAAGGGGAGCAGCCGCCTGGAGCAGTTAAGGGGAGCAGCCGCCTGGAGCAGTTAAGGGGAGATGTCACCTGCAGACAAGAACCCCTAAACCCTGAAGGGAGAAGCCGCCCCTGGTGCAGAGAGGGGAGAAGCCGCCTCCTGGTGCAGAGAAGGGAGAAGCCGCCTCCTGGTGCAGAGAAGGGAGAAGGGAGAAGCCGCCTCCTGGTGCAGAGAAGGGGAGAGGAACCTCTAAACTAAACCCTGAAGGGGAGAGCAGCCGCCTGTTGCAGAGAAGGGGAGAAGAACCCTAAACCCTGAAGGGGAGTAGCAGCCTGGTTCAGAGAAGGGGAGGAACAGCCTGTTTCAAAGGGGAAGGGGAGTAGCAGCCTGGTTCAGAGAAGGGGAGGAGCAGCCTGGTTCAGAGGAGAAGGGGAAGAGCAGCCTGGTTCAGAGGAGAAGGGGAGTAGCAGCCTGGTTCAGAGGAGAAGGGGAGGAGCAGCCTGGTTCAGAGGAGAAGGGGAGTAGCAGCCTGGTTCAGAGGAGAAGGGAGGAGCAGCCTGGTTCAGAGGAGAAGGGGAGTAGCAGCCTGGTTCAGAGGAGAAGGGGAGTAGCAGCCTGGTTCAGAGGAGAAGGGGAGCAGCAGCCTGGTTCAGATGCCGCTTGGTGCATAGAAAGGGGTGTAGCAGCCTGGTGCAGAGAGGAAGGGGTGCAGCAGCCTGCAGCCTGGTGCAAGAGTTGGGAAGCTGCAAAGGGGTGGAGGAGTTGGGAGTTGGTGTGCAGCAGAAGCGATGTGCATCAACAGCGACCATGGAGGTTTTTTAGCCGAGCGTACGGCACGCACCTCATCTTGAGGAAGTCAGCCCGTCGGCATCCAAGGGGATGTGGCGGGACGGATTTTTTTATCCATGGTTTGCGCACGCGCTGAAAAAAAGAAAAAGAGTGGTGTGGAATTAGTGTTGGAGAGCTGACATAGCTGAGGTAGACTTGGTAGCCTTAGTGTTGTACAGCTTGTACCAATTATGATTGGAGATTGACCAGTGCTCACATGTTCTTGTGAGCAAGCACCATCCTTTGTACAGTAAGAGAAAGCGTGATCTTTTGTACAGTGAGAGCAAGCATGATCCGTAGTACAGTAAGAGCAAGCACTATCCCTTGTACAGTAAGAGCAAGCATTTTCCCTTGTACACTAAGAGCTAGCATGATTCCTTGTACAGTGAGAGCAAGCATGATCCTTTGTATAGTAAGAGCAAGCATGATCCTTTGTACAGTAAGAGCAAGCATGATTCCTTGTATTGTACCTATTCAATTTCCTCCCTACTGGCATCCAACCACATGGTGGAAAACCAACCAGGCATTTAATACAACCTCCAGTTCCGCAACATACAAACAGATCAAGCAAACAGTAGTGGGACCACACAAGACAAGCTGGATTGAGAAACAGTAGGACCACAGTAGTAGTCCTTGTACAGTTCTACGAGGATGCAGAGGCGAGTCAACAATGGTTCTAGCATGTGCCAGTGCAGCTCAGAGCTACCAAGTGCTGCAGAGTCAACAAAAAGGCACTTCCAAGTCCTCGGTTTAGGGTGCCATTAAAGTGGAGTGCCATTTAAAGTCGGGTGCCCATTTGAATCAGCTCTGCCAGGAGGCGGAGTCGGGCAGAGCAGGCGCGCTCCTCAGCAGCCGCTCCAACTCATCGTTCACCTCCGCCTGCTGCTTCCACTCCTGGTGGTGGAGGGGTGAGTGGAAGGAGTGAAAGGGAGGGGGAGAAGGGACACAGGGAAACAGTGCATCGCTTCTCAGCAGCCGCTCCAACTCATCGTTCACCTCCGCCTGTTGCTTCCACTCCTGCTGGTGGGGATGGAGGAGGGGAAAAGAGGGGGTTGGGACACAGGGAAACAGTCGGGAGCAGCCGCTCCAACTCATCGTTCACCTCCGCCTGTTGCTTCCACTCCTGCTGGTGGGGATGGAGGAGGGGAAAAGAGGGGGTTGGGACACAGGGAAACAGTCGGGAGCAGCCGCTCCAACTCATCGTTCACCTCCGCCTGTTGCTTCCACTCCTGGTGGTGGGGATGGAGGGGGGGGAAGAGGGGGTTGGGACACAGGGAAACAGTCGCGAGCGACGCTCACTGATCTAGCCTCAAGGCTCACCTTTCAGCTGCCCGTACAGCGGCTGGATGCCGTCACAGGTCACACCCACTCACCCATCACTTACCTCGCGAAGCCTCCACTTTCACCTTCTGCAAGCTCTCCATCAGCCACTCGATCTCACCCGCACTTCGACCACCTCACAGCACTATGTCCCTGCATCTCCCACTCCCCACACCGCCTGCCAGCAATTAGTCCTGCGCTGTGCCTCACCTTCTGCAAGCTCTCCACCTCCATCAGCCGCTCGATCTGGTCCGCTATGCTCGCCTGCTCTCAGACACAAAGCACAGTGCCATGGCTCACAGCATGGCACACAGCATGGCACACAGCATGGCGCACAGCATGGCAGCATGGAACACAGCATGGCACACAGCATGGCACACAGCATGGCATACAGCATGGCACACAGCATGGCACACAGCATGGCACACAGCATGGCACACAGCATGGCACACAGCATGGCAGCATGGCACACAGCATGGCACACAGCATGGCACACAGCATGGCACACAGCATGGCACACAGCATG